TGTATCTTAGAACTTGTGTGCCAAGTTATATTGAAATCAGACCAAAACTGTAGGAGGAGTAGCATTTTGAAAGAATTTCACAGAAATTTCTATTTTTAGTAACCACGGCAACATCGTTCATCGAAATCAAAAACCGATGCACAAAATTATGTATCTTAGTGTAGTCTACTTGTGTGCCAAGTTATATTGAAATCAGACCAAAACTGTAGGAGGAGTAGCATTTTGAAAAATTGTTTACAGACAGACAGACAGACAGACAGACAGACGGACAGACAGACAGACGGACGGACGACGGACGCATTACTATCGCATAAGCTCTTCTGGTCTCTGACCAGTAGAGCTAAAAATTAAATTGGAATATGCTTTTGCTTCAAAAATATATTAACTTACAAATTTAAAAGTTCTCATATGTAAAGCGTATTTAAATGTAGATTTTTAGGCAATTTTTGAATACCCCTATCACCCCCACCCCTTCCTTTTTTGCGTCGCAGACCATTAGCGTTTGACGAAACGTCGTTTACAGTGCAAATGTACTGGTATTTCGTCATTTGAATCCCGGAGGTATGCATTAGTTTTTAAAATTCATGAATGCAGAATAAATATTGACTACTCTTTTTATATGTATCAGGAAAAAATTACTGAAGGATTTGTGTTTAGTCCATATATGTATGCGTTATGCATTCCATATCACATGAAACCTGGATACAATTAAGTTTTGTTGAACTTGAATATGTTGATTTTTAATTTTATTTCTTTAATTTTATTCATTAAAAAAAAGGGTGTATGTTTCTCCTGTGATATAAATTGAATAATTGTAGTTTCTTTCATGTCATTATTTCAAACGAGACAGTATGTGGCCGTGGGGATACATCGACATTTGCATCTAGATGTACACCCCTCACGATATTGTACGCATTTCATTCAATGTCATAGCTTCTAAAGTTAAAATGAAAATTCCGTATTCGTCCACATTAACTTCAAAATATCAAACACGAAACTCTTCATCTATTTCAATTTTTATCAAATCGCACTTTGATATTTTTTAAAATCTTACAGGCTACGTTTTGTTTTGACTCGAGGAAATGCGAACCGACATTGTTGACAGAAAGTCAAACGATTTGCTGCAATAGGATATTCATTAATGCAGATAATTTCAGTACAAGTGAACAATGCTTTTCAATTCTATACTTACATTGTGTATCCTGGCGATATATGAGGTCAATAGTATTCAATTCTCGGATTTATCAGGTCTTGCTGTAAATGTATCTGATTCTGTGGAGAACCGTGAATAAAGGGAGGAAAATAAACATCTCCTACATTTTCAGAGTTGTTCCTCTTTGATCAGTAAGGGTCTGAGAACAACATCGATTTTACATTGTAAAAAAGTTTTTTTGTTTATTTATTGTTGTTTTATTTAATTAAAGAAGAAAAACAATATTTATATTGTAAATGCACAAATTGTAATGAAGACCATTAATCGGAATGCTACATAGCCAATTGTACTTAATGAGAATTTCGGCAATGTGAAATAAAATTTTCAGAATAAAAAATATGCTGCGCTTCAAATGATCAAAAATACAATTTATTGTATATGAAATGAAATGAAATAAACATTAAGGGATGGTATTTTATGTCTTGCTTTTTACGGAGTTTAATCGGGTTAATTAAAAAATACTTATTGATTGAGTATGGTACGCACAATCACAGCCAAGCCCCATATCCCAATTTTCTTTCATGATTGATATACATCGGGATCGTTTTACTCGTCGTTTTGACGCTTTATTTTTGACGTTAAATTTGACGTCACGTCAAACGTTCAATTGAAATCGCAAGAGTTATCTCCCCCAGTGTGTTGTACGTCTTTAAGATTCAAAATAAGTCTGTGGAAAAAATTATGGTTCCAAAGGAAAGATCTCAGATAGAATGCTTAGTTAGTGAAACAGCATCAACTGTTTAAATGATTCAGGAAAGGTTAAAAGTTAAATTAAGTCAAACTTAAAGTTCAAGGTCAGAAGGTAAAAATATGAATACCCAAAGTTCTTGCCATAAGAATATAAATGACATTCATGGAAACCCTAGCACCAACTATTACCCAAAGGAATGTCTTAAATGCCACAAGGAATATAAATGTGATACATGAAAACCTTATAGAACCAACTATTCAAATGGTTAAGGTTAAAGTTTTAAAAACTCAAAGGGCAGGTTCAAAGGATAACCAGAAGTCTCTGTTGAGACTGAAGCTCTACTGGTTTGTACTTACAGCAAAGGAAAAGTACTTAAGCAGTTGGGAATTGAAACTTAACAATAACAACAGCAATAAATAGAATAAAGATCCTTGATAAAGTCTCTTTATGTTCTTAGTGTAGTCTACTTGTGTGCCAAGTTATATTGAAATCAGACCAAAACTGTAGGAGGAGTAGCATTTTGAAACAATTTTACAGACATTTCTATTTTTAGTAACCACGGCAACACCATTCATCGAAATCAAAAACAGATACACAGAATAATGGATCTTAGTGTAGTCTACTTATGTGCCAAGTTATATTGAGATCAGACCAAAACTGTAGGAGGAGTAGCATTTTAAAAGAATTTCACAGAAATTTCTATTTTTAGTAACCACAGCAACAACGTTCATCGAAATCAAAAACCGATATACAGAATAATGGATCTTAGTGTAGTCTACTTATGTGCCAAGTTATACTGAAATCAGACCAAAACTGTAGGAGGAGTAGCATTTTGAAACAATTTCACAGAAATTTCTATTTTTAGTAACCACACCAACAACGTTCATCGAAATCAAAAACTGATATACAGAATTATGTATCTTAGTGCAGTCTACTTGTTTGCCAAGTTATATTGAAATCAGACCAAAACTGTAGGAGGAGTAGCATTTTGAAAGAATTTCACAGAAATTTCTATTTTTAGTAACCATGGCAACAACGTTCATCGAAATCAAAAACCGATATACAGAATTATGAATCTTAGTGTATTCTTTTTGTGTGCTAAGTTATATTGAAATCAGACCAAAACTGTAGGAGGAGTAGCATTTTGAAAAATTGTTTACAGACAGACGGACAGACAGACGGACGGACGCCGGACGCATTACTATCGCATAAGCTCTTCTGGTCTCTGACCAGTAGAGCTAAAAATGTTGGTGCCCAAGAAGGTCTGCATTGTCACTTACAATCAAACAGACAGACAGACAGACGGAATGGCTATATACATGTATTACTGTAAATGTATTCTATTTAGCATGAATTATATTTGTCAGAATTTGAATTATCAACAAGTAAGCATAGAGATTTGATTTAGCACTTTTAAAAATGTGCTTTACATGAACATATTCATATATGCAAAATATTTAGCGATGCACTTTGATTCAGTGCTTTCCGCAAAAGGCGCTGAACAGAATACACAGTCAAATCTAATAATTTAGTTTACAATGTATGTCCCTGAATCTTTGATTATAGAGGGCAAAAAAAAATCATGAATTTCCCCTATACTGCACAGAAAAATATTGACCCTCTAGCTCTTAGATTCTGTTCTAAAAGCCCGCAGTCATCGTACAAGATTAATTTCCGACGTTATTGCTTTATTAACACACAAGTAATGACAGAGGTCCACAGCTTATTTGCCTCATTACTGTTAAAAAAAAACATGCAAGAACATGCTCGGCTGAAGAAAAAAATCAATTTCACTTTTATACGCCCCGATCCCTCTGGCTTAATGGCCACTCACAATGATCGTAGGGAAATTAACACGGCCATATATATATGTTACACCATCATCTATATCATTACAAAATCCCCCAAAGAGGAGTTAGGAGTTTGATTAATTCGTATAATGATAGGGAAGTCGAAGTGCATCAGATGAGAGCGAGGAACGAGTCACTATAAATCACTGTCTTCATGGGCTAAAATCTAATTTGGTTGGACTTTTGGCGACATTAATGACAATATTTTTTTCTGTTGATGTGTCATTAATACTTCCTGGGACACTTTTTTATTTGGTTAGAGCGAGACTACAGCTTTCATTGGTTATGGAAATAAAAACACATTCCGAGTTGTCCTTAAGAACCGGCTACTAGCCGAATTAACCACTTCAATTGATAAAAAGGATGCTTTAAAATAAGGAAATTTTTTTTAAATTAAGAAAATTGTAAGGTTTTCTGTTTGATTGTGATGCTCCTATCCCCCATCATCCTACCCTAAATGAACTATTTTAAAAAACACAAGTCTTTGACAACACTGTAGCTCTACTGGTTTGTCCTTCGAAAGTGAAAAGCAACACCTGGACTTGAACCTAGCAGCAATGGTGCACCATAAGTAAATTATCAGAATTATACTGGAGCGCCCTTCATATTTCAAAGTTCAAGGGACTCTTAAGAAAAGTTCCATTGATAGGGGAGTTAGAAAGATCAAAAGGGAAAAGAAATCCATATTTAATTTTTTTTAGATCTGATCATGAAAGCTCTATAATTACATTTAATAGAAGTATATTCGCTGAAAAATTCTGTCACATTTTCATAAATTACTGGTAATTCACTTGATTTCAAGAATAAAAGATCATATCTTGTTTAAATGAGAAATAAAATTTCAGTTTTAAAAGTTACTTGTCCTTATAAAACAGTTTTATAAGTTACTTGTCCTTATTTATTGCTATGCTCAGATGGTTTTGGAGCAAATAGCATGCTCAATCTTTACCCGAGTCACTGGGACTTTCAATAGATTACTGATATCGCTTCACACAGTTAATGAAGATGGAATTTTAAACAATGGTTGCAATGAAATTGAGATTTTTATATCTACTTTCGTTCCACTCTTTGAAGTGGTAGCTATCAAAACTTTGGCTTGTGAGAATGAATCTTTGATCCGTTAATCCATAATCTTTTGATCAAACAACATGCTTGGTACTAGATGCTTGAAAAGCAGAGTGACCAGATTTTTTGGGTCTATAAGGCTGCCTTGATTTTATTCTAATTTTTCATAAAAACAACCTACTGACTGCAAATACTTCAGCTCTGATTTACACATTCGCTGCAGCTTGTTAGCTCCCTTGATATGACCAAGTTTCTTGGAAAGGTCTATGAATTTCTTGGCACAGTCAATGTACTGATCAAGCAGAGCAGAGTTGTCTTCCCCTAGAGCATCTGTTGGCTGTCTCTCTGCCATTGTAGAAAAATCTGCTGGAGAAAAAAATATAAAAAAAAATTAACATATATCAAAATTTGATGACATATGTATTTACAGGAAATAAATGTATTTAGAATAATTTCAGTTTTTTATATTTTTTATAAAACTGAAATATTGTATAATAAAAATACAATAATTATTATTTTTACATTATAAGTTCTAGATGCTGATTAACAAATATAATTTGATTACACATTCATATAAATGAAATAACAGTAATGAATTATAATAATTTGGGATTTTTAAAAATGGTTTAACAAGGCCTGGGGATTGAATATCAGGAGTAGAAAATTCTGCTCGCAGAGTGGATAAGTCAAACTCAGCCAGGAAATGGTATGTGCTAATTTGGGTAATTCGGCACAGAGAAATAAAAGAAAACAAAGACATGCATGCCATATATTTATATTATCGTAGAAGACAATGGTGATAAACAGTTTGCCAGTGCAAATTCCTCTGAAAGTGTAAATGAGTGCGTTTCTGAGGAGGCATCGTCTCAAGCCACAGTCCAGCTAGAGTCCGCATTCAGATCGCAAAAAATTTCAGAATCTTGAATATTTACACCTCTCTTTTGTGACGTTATATTCAGTCAATGTCAATATTTGTTTCCATTGCAACTGAAATCAACAATTGCCTTCAGCAGTATATACAGGAAATATTTCGTACACTGCGATTGGCTATTGAAAGGTCACATCGAAGTTCATTGTCCGACTATGCTTTACTCGTAATGGTCAATATTTAATGAACTGTGAAATATTCTCTTTTCATTCAACCACGGCCAAAATGGTAGAAGGTCGTACATTTTTACCATGGTTTACGACAATGCTGAAGAGGGGAACAGTGAGTGTAATTTGGAGTTTAATAAGATACCTAGTGTTATTATGGGTTAAAAATTTATTTCCGAAGCAAAGTGCCTGTGCCTAGCGTATATATATAATCATGACATCAGGTTTGATGGAGCGTTGTAGCATTTAAGATGTATAGATCTTAGATCCAGAACCAGGATCCAGGATATATTAGGGCACTTTGCAGGAAACAACTAAGACATGTTATTCCCATTAAAATAGATAACTGACTCCCTCAGTACACGTTTTTAACCTTAGTGTGAAGATGCTACAGCACCGGCCCTTCGCTTTAATCATGTTAAAGGAAGAAGAAGAAGAAGAAATGGATTTGAACCGGGGACCTCTGGCAAATTTCAATCCTGTGGTGATCGTTGATTATAGAGCATATAAATATTTTTTGTAAAATGTCACTTTATGATATAAAGCAGTTACCTATAAACTAACTTGCTTATAGGTCCCTGGTTAAAAATATGATTAGTGGATTAATAGCGAGCGCAGCGAGCGTCGCGAAGCGACGCTCGCGAAGCGAGCTCAATAGACTAACGTGTATGAACAGAGGAAATTCGGATTGAAATCTGTACATACGTCAGCCAAATTTCTCTGTGCAACATTCCCAGAATTCCTGCACTACCCAATGTCCTTTGCGCGAATAAATCAAAAATAGTAAAAAAATTAAAGGAATATTGTTTCTTACCGAAATGATTTTGCCTTACCTTATTCAAAAAAATACCCCCATGCCACAACACCGGCCTTCACCTTGCCCTTCTGAAATGATACAAATGACGTCACCGGAAACTTACGAATTTTGACGAAGTTATGTCGGTTGCTTCCGTGAAACTCGGAAAACATGTTGCGGTGCAAAGCAACATGGTGGCTAAAACATAGCAACAACTTACTTGAAAAGAAAATTTAATGCAATCTCTTTTCCATAAAACTAGCGTTTGCGTCCTAAGTCAACAGAACTTTTTATCTGACGTCATACTTTCGTAACTTCAACGGTTCGGGTATTTCCGATTTTGTCGGAAACTTCCGAGAAGTTTGGAATCTCGATCCCAATGCTTGGGAAATGATTTCTTTTTCTTGTTTTGTTTTATTCTTTTTGCTTTCTTTTTCTTGAATGATAGACAGTACATGTGTAGGTTTATGATAGTAAATAAACTGCGCTCTCCCCAACGGTCACACCGTAAAACATATTAATAGCGAGCGCAGCGAGCTCAATAGACTAACGTGTAAGAACAGAGGAAATTCGGATTGAAATCTGTACATACGTCAGCCAAATTTCTCTGTGCAACATTCCCAGAATTCCCGCACTACCCAATGTCCTTTGCGCAAATAAATAAATAAATAAAATAATAACGTAAAACATAAAAGGCTAGATCAGTTTGTAGAAATCTTTCAAAGAAACAAAAAATAACTCTACAATGTTTTTCAACCAAAATTGCACTAAGTCTATAGTTTCAAACAGACGCTCGGCTGTCTCCGTAAGCTCCGACGAGCTCCGTGACGTCGTGTGACGTCACAGTTAGTCGAGATATCTCGTGCGGCTTGATATTTGAAGTGGCTGATCAATTTTTAGAGTGTTTTTGATGGTACAACTGCGCTCGCCCCAACGGTCACACCGTAAAACATATTATTCTAAGAAAGTCTAACGTTAGTCTTGCACCATATTGCATCAAGTTCAACATTTTCAAGATCAACTGAACATTTCATGTCCATAACAGCCTAACATTATAATCACGTCGACAAATTCCTTAAACGCAGTATGTATAAATATTCTTACCCCCTACTTAAGTCTGAGATAGATAAGACTGCAACAGGATTTTGGCATAAAGTTTCTTCTGTAGTCTGTCGTACTGTAGTCTAACATCATTATTTGGAAGGCCGATCCCGATGAAATATAGACATCAGTTTATTTTATTTTATTTTATTTTATTTTATTTTATTTTATTTATTTATTTATTTCATTTTATTTTATTTATTTATTCATTTATTCATTTATTCATTTATTCATTTATTCATTTATTTATTTATTTATTTATTTATTTATTTATTTATTTGTTCATTCATTCATTCATTTATTTTGTTTATTTTATTTTATGAATTTATTTTAAAATTTACGACAGAAATAAACATTTTGTTTTTAAACCAATGTGTTATATATGAAGTCAATATATGGTGAGTTTTCATGGAAAAAAAATTGATCTTTTATAAGTTTAATTATGGAATTCCATATACGACAGCCAACCACAGGTGCCTGAGGACAGGACCCCCCTCTCCTTTCGATATAGACCCCTGGGTTTTTTCGACTTTTTTCTCATAAATAATCTTTCAATGACATATTTGTGACAAGATCTATACCAACAAATCGAAAAATTACCTAAAACAAACGTTCTATAAAATTTACCCTACATTCTATATATAACAGAGAATTCGTGTCCCCCGCTTAGGGAAAAAGTCGGCTCCCCCTGACTGAATTTGTAGAATTATTAAATGTATACATGTATACTGAAGGAAATAAAATACATGTATGTCAATATTCATACAAAGATTTGATTGCTTATTCTTTATTATGTGTATAGAAGATTTTTTTATGTGGAATATTTATCACACTGTAATGATGATTTTATAACCTCATAAATTTTTCATTTCACATGCTCAATACTATCATTTAGTTAAAAAAAAAAAGTATTTAAAAAAAAAAATTAAAAAAAATGAAAGGTTCGACCGAGATTCGATCCCGGGACCTCTCACATTTGAAGCGAGAGGCATAACCACCAGACCACGGAGTCGCATCATACAGACAAAAGTATATGCAGAACTGAAGTCACATACATGTATATATTCATGTTTTCATATTCGGTTTTCTCAAAATTTTACACAATCCATGGTGTTTGATTTATTTAGCCTTTATTAAACAGTTATGATAGATGTAATAAGAACATAAAGTCCGCCGAGAACCTGTTTTATACGCAATAACTCTCCTCATGCCCCTGCGCTAAAAATAGCGCCATGTAATACTATAAATACTAATAAAACAAACGGGGCGGGGCACTTTGAGAGGGGCGAGAGACGTCCTAGGGAGTTTTGGTATAAAATTACATTGCATAAGCTCAAAATCTTCTTGAAATATCGCCTGGAAATGATAGTATTACATACAGACAGAATGTATAAATTTACGACCTTGAACTTTGACCTTTTGACCTCAAAATCAATAGGGGTCTTCATTAGGCCACAGGGAGTTGTTATATAAAATTTCATTGCAATAGCTCAAATGGTTCTCGAGATATCGTGTGGAAACGAAAGTGTTTTTACAGACAGAATTTGCTTATTTATGACCTTGACCTTTGACATTTTGACCTCAAAATCAATAGGGGTCTTCTTTAGTCCATAGGGAGTTGCTATGCTAAATTTCATTGCAAAAGCTCAAAGGGTTCTCGAGATATCGTGTGGAAACGAAAGCGTTACAGACAGACAGAAAGACGGACGGACGGACGGACGGACGGACAGACGGACGGACGGACGGACAAACCCAAATTAATATCCCCCACTTTTCAAGCGGGGGACAAAAAATTATATATAGAGAATGGGGTAGAAATTTTTATTAAATGTTAGTTTAAGCAAATTTTATGAATTGATGGGATAGATTATATCACAAACTAATGTGTCATTCATATATAATTTATGTGAAAAAAAGTCCAACAGACCCGGGGGTCTATATTGGGGGAGGGGTGTCCTGTCCTCAAACACCTGTGCAGCCAACTGCTTACTGCCAACTGCTCACTGCTTACTGCTTACTGCCAACTGTCACACATATTTGAACACATTTCCATACATATTGATATTTATGTGAATTTTCAACAAAAAAAAAAGCAGGCGTGGATTCAGGAATATTTTCCAGGAGGGGTCCATCCTAAAATGCCAACCCAGATATGTCTTGACTTTTAATGCTTCTTATATTCATATCTTTGACTTTTCATACCAAATTAACTGTAAATGCGAGGAAGGAGTAAGAAGGAGGAAGATGCATTTCCTATTAAAAACAAATCATTTATTTTCTGCATTTCTTTAGTTGCACAAATAATTTGGTAGCTTTTTTTTTCTTTGGACGCGGGAAAAAAAGGGGGGGGGGATTCTCATAAAACAAAGAACAATCTTTAGAATGGTCTTGAGTAACATTTGTTGGTATACGATTTAATATGTATACTAGAGATATTACTAGATTTATAATAACAAAATATATTATAACTTATGGGAATCTTTATATACTTGTTTTAAACATTCGTGGTAATGGTAATGGGCGTACCCACAACATTTCCAACATAGTATACTATACTAATATTCAGTAGTGCTCCCTCAATAAAGACGACTGTGACCTTAATTTTTTTTATTCCTTGTCAAGGGAATCATGTTGGGTTGTACCCCCTCCCCCCGCACTTAAATTGTCTTCTTTGCCTGAGGTCAGTTGTTTTTACATAGAGTAAAAGGCCTTTATGAATTTTATAAGAATATGTGATATAAAAGCATATATCAACAAATATAACCCAAGATCCTACTGAAAGTCCCCCCAATTTTTTTCTGACGTATACAGCTTTTAATACCCCCCCCCGGTCAAAAAATATATTGAATTATTTACCTGCAAGGAAATGTTGGCATTAGATAATTATATTGTATTCAAAAGGGAATACTCTTTCCTACAATCTATTCCTTCCTTGTCCCAACTGTTTAAAAATTCCCCTTTTTTATTATTGTAATTTATCAAAGGGTTTAACCAATTAAGCATCTGCATTAAAGATATTAGAGCTAATAAAACATAAAACAAGCAATATCGTCTATGAGCAGTGGCAGTTTGCAGTAAGCAGTGAGCAGTTGACAGTAAGCAGTAAGCAGTTGACAGTAAGCAGTGAGCAGTTGACAGTAAGCAGTTGGCAGTAAGCAGCTGGCTGTTGTATATGGAATTCCATAATAATATAAACTAAAATAAATAAATAAATAAAAATATTTTCAAAATAAATAAATAAATAAACTATTCTTTCAGTGGCATGGTTTATTCAGTATAATCAATAACACACTGATGGTAAGAAATATTTGAATTTCTTTTTGATGCATATTTTAATTAAAAAGTGCAGCCACACTTTCCGTCCGCTCCACAATATGGAATGTTACATTCCCTGCCCAAGTCGGAAGTGGAGTAGCCTTTGCAATCCTTCACTGATGTGCAGATTCCTAGATGAGAACAAAAATAGGATGTATTGTATTTATGTAAATATACATATAATGAGAGAGAGAGAGAGAAAGAGAGAGAGAGATCGATCAGGAATATGGATGTTCCTACGAAGGGATATTTTATTCCTCATCAGTGAACTAAAGAAATTAACACTATGTATACATTTTAAATAGGAAATTACATTTCGAATTCGAAACTTGAATTTTTTTTTATTTCACCGTAGCCCCCAACATGAGGTGTAAATAGTACAATAGTCAGTAAAATTCGTATTTACTGCCACCCTGTAAAACTCAAAATTTCAGGAGTGTTAAATGTTGAAAATCATTTGTTGAGCTCACAGGTACTTGGGTCTTGGTTTATAAATATGTATAATGTACCTTATTGATATGCAAAAAAAGTACCTTAATTGTTGAGCTGCTTTATTACGAAGAAAATGAATACAAAACTGTACTTACTTTCGTCGTGTTTGATTGCCTCCTTGATCTGAATATTTTGATCAGGTCTGTACGGTAAGACCTTAGCCCCATTACTCGTCTTGATTCCTATGCAAAAAGAAAAAAAAAATATTTTCATCTAAAGCAGTCTTATTGAGAGGAAAATTAAAGGTCTTAAGCAAATGTGTTTTGTGAGGAAAAAAAAGGGCTGGAAGATTTTAAATCTGCAAATTGAAAATAACGAGAGGGAGAGAGAGAGAGAGTAGAGAGGGAGAGAGAGAGAATTACAAAAGCGTATTCATTTGGTAAAAATTCTGCTCAAACTAATACACTGTATGTGGTAATAAATATCTGTACCTCCTTTTTATCTTATTTACCGACGGTGTTAAATTTAGGGCGGTGACTCAATAAATTCTTGGGCACCAAAGAAAATAATATTTGACTTGTCTGTATAGGTATAGTCGAGCGGTCCAAAGCCTGTTCCTGTAAAGACGAATAATGACCCCCATCGAATAATGACCGGGGGTCATTTTTCGACAGCGAAAAATGACCCCCGGTCAATATTCGACGTAGAAAAATGACCCTTTTGCCCGTAGAAAAAGTGTCACCATCCTAAAAATTTGCAGAACCCACGTGAAGAAAAATGACCCTCGTAGAAAAATGACTCCCTGTGGATTAAAGCTGAAATTTTTAAGGGGCGAAAAAAAAAATTAGATAAAGAAGTATATTGGCCAAAATGCTCACCTGAGCTTATTTGGAATAAATTGATGATATGTTGATCTTATAACATACGATTATAGCTATATTTTAAGGTTTCGTCAAAGGTCAACATGTCTAAAAAATATTTTTACAATAGCTTCAAAACTATGAGTGGTAAAAAGTCAAAACGTTTACAGTTTATAAATATATCATTGATTAATAGATAGAAAATATCACTTGATAACAAATAATTTTAAAAGATATTATTCTTAGAAAAATTGTATCAGAAAATGTGCATATATAAAGAAAAATGCACCTACTTAAATCTGTCCTTTTTTCTGAAAACCAACATTGCAGAAATAATACATGTATATGTTTATCATTGAAGGGCAAGCTGGACATGAATGGTCTCTGAAAAGTTATGGTCAAGTTTATGCGGAGAAACAGACCACCAGATAGACAGACAGACATACAGACGGGC